CCCCCCCCTGGCTGTGTGGCCAGACCCCCTCCCTCCCAGGGTCAGGCCCCTCTGCCAGAGTCTGTTCTGCAACTCCATGGCCCTTGGGGAAGCCGTGGGGATGGGCTGGGGGGGGAACAGAGAAGGCAGCCCTCAGGGAGCGCATGAAGGAGCAATGGCTCTAGGGGCAAGGGATGCTTCTGGCCAGACAATACTGACTGACAGGGCACTAAGTTCTGGGTGAGTCTCAAAGCAGAGCACAGGGGCTGAGATCAGGCCCGGCTGTGTCAGGCGCTGCACAGACACAGAGCAAGAAACGGTCCCTGCTCCAGCTGAGATCAGGGCCCCATTGTGCCGGGTGCTGCCCGGACACAAAAAAAGAGACTGTCCCTGCACCAAAGCCTATGCAGACAAGCCAGACAAAGGGTGGCAGGGGAGGGAGATGCACAGGAAAGATAAGTGATGGGACCATGGTCGCCCACCCGGTCAGTGGCAGAGCAGGGAGTCGCTCCCTAGTCTTTGAAGTGCCGGTCCCGTGACAGGGACCCAGTGCAGGGCCGAGCACCCGGACACAAAAAAAGAGACTGTCCCTGCACCAAAGCCTATGCAGACAAGCCAGACAAAGGGTGGCAGGGGAGGGAGATGCACAGGAAAGATAAGTGATGGGACCATGGTCGCCCACCCGGTCAGTGGCAGAGCAGGGAGTCGCTCCCTAGTCTTTGAAGTGCCGGTCCCGTGACAGGGACCCAGTGCAGGGCCGAGCAGACATGGTGGGTGTTAGCCCGGGGGCTGTTAGATCCACTCTCCATGGGAGATAACTAGGGTGCACCACGCTGCACCCCTCAAAACTCAGTCTCACCGGGGTCCTGCAGGGAAACAGCCACTGAGCAGCCAGGGGCAGGGGGCACAGCAGCTCTGGGGTGGGCAGGTGGGCTTGGCAGGCAGTTCATTGGCGGAGCCAGCCGTGGCGCCCCTCCCCGCGCTGGTCCCTGCTGCAGGTGGTGGTGTCCCGGGTGGCCCGGGTGTGTAAGAACGACATGGGCGGCTCGCAGCGGGTGCTGGAGAAGCAGTGGACGTCCTTCCTCAAGGCCCGGCTGAACTGCTCCGTGCCGGGGGACTCGCATTTCTACTTCAACGTGATCCAGTCGGTGACGGACATCGTGGAGCTGGGCGGGCGGCCCGTGGTGCTGGCCGTCTTCTCCACGCCCGCCAACAGGTCGGTCTTCCGTGGCAGGGTGGGGG